GGGAAATCTGTGATTTTTGTCTCGTGGGGACCTCGTGGGAGGCCTCTTGGAAGCCTCTTGGGCCGTCTTGGCGGCCTCTTGGGCCGTCTTGAGGCCATCTTGGGCGGCTTGGGGCGATTTTGGGGCGTCTCCGGCCCCTCTTGGGGCTGTCTTGTGGCGTTTTTGGGCCCGTGTGGCCGCCTCCTGGGCCGTCTTGGAGCCGTCTTGGGCCATCGTGGGACCATCTTGGGAGCCTTTGGGCTGTGTTGGGTCGTCTTGGAGGTCTCTTGGGCTCTCTTGGAGCGTCGGAACTTTTTGCCTCTTGGGACGCCTCTTGTAAGCCTCGAGGGGCGTGTTGGGGGGATCGAGGGCCATCGTGAGGCCATCTTGGGCCGCCTTGGGACGCTGTTGGCTTCTGGCCGTAGGGCCTGCCACCTATTCGCCGCTGAGAGTGCGCCGCTGGATCTCCCCAAGGGGGGGGGGGTAGGACCCCCCCTCCCCGCCCCTTCCCCGATCCGTCGTCGGGACCCCCCCCCCCCTCCAACCCTTCCCCGATCCGTCGTCGGGACTCCCCCCCCCCCCTCCCCCCCTTTCCCCGATCCGTCGTCGGGGACCCCCCCCCCCCCCTCTTTCAAAAGGGGGGGGGGGTCCGAACCCCTTCCCCTCCCCCCCTTTGGCCGCACCCCCCCCCCCCCCCTTTCGCCACGCCGCCCCCTGACTCCGGAACCCGACCCCCGCCACCCCTGCCCCTAGTCCTCACCCTAACCCAAACCCCTAACCCTAACCCCAACTACTAACCCCAGCCCTAAAGAGTACTCACTGCTCATTACTCACTACCCACTACTGACAACTCGCTATTCGCTACTCACTTCTCACTACCCCTACTCACTACTCACGACTCACTACTCACTATCCACTACTCACTACCCACCACCCACTACTCGCTACTCACTACTCCCTTCTCACCACTCCCTCCTCCGTACTCGCTACTCACTACTCACTCCTCACTACTCACTACTCAATACTCATTACTCACTAAGCACTACTCACTACTCCTTACTCACTACTCACTGATCACCACTCATTACCCACTACCCACTACTCCACTACTCACTACTCACCACTCATTGCCCACAAATCACTACTCACTACCCACTACTCGCTACTCGCTACTCCCTACTCCCTACACAATACTGACTACACAGTACTCAGTACTCACTAGTCGCTACTCCCATACTCGCTACTCAATACTCACTACTCACTCCCCGCTACTCACTACTCACTACTCACTACTCCCTACTTATTAGTTACTACATAGTCTCTAGTCAGTAGTCACAACTCATTAGTCATTAGTCACTAGTCACTACTCAATACCCACTACGCACTACTCAGTAATCGCTACTCACTACCCACTATTCGCTACCCACTTCTTACTACTCACTGCTCACTACTCCCTACGCCCTACTCCCTATTCGCTACGCATTACGCACTACGCACTACTCGCTACTCCCTACTCGTTACTCACTAATCACTACCCACTACTCACTACTGACTACTCTCTACTCGCTACTCACTACTCATTACGCCCTATTCGCTCCTTACTACTCACTACTCGCTACTCCCTACTTGCTAGTCACTCCTCACTACCCACTACTCTCTATTTATCACTGCTCACTACTCACTACGCCCTACGTACTACTTAGTACTCACTACTCACTACTCACTACTCGCTACTCAATACGCACTACTCACTACTCACTACTCACTACTCACTACCCAGTACTCACTACTCACTACTCACTACTCACTACGCACTACGCGCTACCCACTACTCACTTCTCAGTAATCACTACCCGCCACCCACCACTCAATACCCATTACTCCTACCCACTACTGATTACTCCCTAATCCCTACTCAGGACTCACTACTCGCTACTCGCTACTCACTACTCACTACTCACTATTCGCCACTCACTAGTCACTTATCAGTACACACTACTCACTATTCACTACTCACTACTCCTCACTCCCTACTCCCTACTCTCTACTCGCCACTCACTACCCACTACTCACTACCCACTACTCACTACTCACTACGCACTTAACTCACTACTCGCTACTCACCACTGCGTACTCCCAACTCCGTACGCCCTACACACCTTCTCTAGTGCAGAAAGGAAAAGCGAGAGAGGCTCCCCTCCCCGGCTCCCTCTCCGGCGCAAAAGGGGGGGGGGGTCCGACCACCCCCCCGTCCTTTCCAGCGCCAAGGGGGGGAGGAGGGGGGGGGGGGGGCCGGACCCCCCCCCCCCTTGAAGGGGGGGAGGGGGGGGGGGTCCTGGACCACCCCCCCGTTTAGTGTATTCAGGGAGATCCACTGGCGCACTTTCCCTATTTGTCGACTCATTGGGCCGCTCCTGGACGGTTCCAGAGGCCCCCAGGCTCGCGCACACGAGATCTGGCATCTGTGGCGGGGACTTGCGGGGAGTTGCCCAGGGTATTTCTCGCTCCAGGACACCCAGGGGCCGCCACTCGCGCGCGGACCAGAATATTGTGAACTTGTTATCGCAGATCTTAGCACGCCTCTCTCCTGTTGGGCCGGCGACTTCAATAATTCAACAAAGCAAGTAAGAACCACCAAGTGCAAACATTATTTGGGCAACCCCTCATCACCCCTCGTTTCCTCCGCCTTGTCACTCCCTCCTCCCACTTCTCACTCGTGTTCTCCTGTTCCTCCTCCTCTCCTCGCCTTTCTTCAATCCTCCTTCCTTCTTGTCCTTCCGCCTCCCCCATCCCTCCTCCTCCTTCTGTCCGTCCACGGATGTCTGGGTGCCCCTAGGCTCGGAGGTCAAAGAGTCGACCCCTGGACCTGTCCAAGAGTTTGGCGTCCAGCCGTGGCGACGAGGAGTCTTTTCGGAGGCCCAAGATTGGCGGAAAGTGGAAAGACCTCGGCACTCGATCTTCGATCCTTGTGAATGATCCCCGTACCTTTCCTGCTCTTTCCTGTGCCGCTGCCCCTGTCGGTTCGCAAGGTGTGACTAGGTAACAGGCGCCTCATTGATTGGAGGACTTATGAAGGGTTAACCCTTCATCATCGTCCTTCACTCATCGTTGCCGCCTACACCGACGGATACTCGGGAGGGGATCGGCCCTTCGGTCAACCCTTCCCTTCACACGATCCTCGAGCCACGGATCGCGGCCGCCTTCCTCGCGCGCGCGTCGCAGCAGAGCGCGGCGCGGCGCCGCCCAGCGAGCCCAGGTACACTGCCGGTTGCGGCCGCGAGTTTGACACCAACACCAGCATCAGCGGTGCGCCTCCACCGAGGGAAGAAGATCCCGATCTCGGGGATGGTGGCAATATTCTGGCTTCCAAGGTGGCCGAAAAATGACCACCAACGCCGAAATCTAGGATCATCTCCCCCCTGTGGAGGCAACCCCCTATGTTGGTGTTGGTGCCTATTTTCAGGCCTCCAACAACCTTCGGAACTCCGCGCGGATCTCTTGGATCGGCGCTGGGCCCCCCTGGCGGCGCCTCCAGCGCCGCCGCTGGCGCTCTCCGCGCGCCGAGGTGGGGGTCCAGCGTCGACCCCGCACGGGTATTCTCCACGCCCATCGACAAGTTATCGTTTGCAGTTGTGGATGCTGTCGTTGTGCGTATCGCCTTCCGTGGGTCTCCTCATGGGGCCGCGAAGCCCAGGAAGGGTGTGGCGACATTGGGCGGGGAAACACATGCAGAGCCTGCCTCTTGGCCCTTCGGTGGGGGCCACGAAACGTGTGAAAGGTGTGCCGAATCGGGCGCGGGTGCGCCATGCGGACCCTGCCGGTGGGCATTTCGGTGAAGCTCCTTGTGGGGCCACGGAGCGTGTGAGGAGGGTGTTGCGTCGGGTGCGGGTATGCCAAGCGGGCCCTGCTGCTGGGGCCTTCGGTTGAGCTTCCCTGTGGGGCAACGAAATGTCTGAGGGGTGTGCCGAATCGGGCGCGGATGCGCCGTGCGGGTTCTGCCGGTGGGCCCTTCGGTGGAGTTTCGTATGGGGCCACGAAAAGTGCGAGGGGTGTGCAGGATCAGGTGCGGGTGCGCCATGCGACCGCTGCCGCTGGTTCTTTCGGTGGAGTTCCATATGGGGCCGCGAAGCGTGTGAGTGGGCGCCGAATCGGGTGCGGGTGCGCCATGCGGGCCCTTCCGCTGGGGCCTTCGGTGAAGCTCCGTGTGGGGCCACGAACTGTGTGGTGTGTGTGTGTGTGCGCATATGGGGCCGTGAAGCGTGTGAGGGTTGTGCCGAACCGGGTGCGGGTACGCCATGCGGACCTTGCCGCCTGGGCCTTCGGTGGAATTCCAATATGGGGCACGACATGTGTGAGGGGTGTTCCGGAATTGTGCTGAAATCGTTGTGCGGAGGCCAAAGGCAGAGATGGGAGGCGGGAGGAGGGGGAGGAGCAGGAAGAACGAGGAAGGACGCGGGGCGCTGTCTCTTCAAAACGAGGTCCCACCTCCACAGGATGGCAGGGTAAACCATGACATAAACATAAGCTTTCGGAGCTCCGCGCGGATTTCTTGGATCGGCGCTTGGCCCCCCTGGCGGCGCCTCTGGTGCTCCCCATGGCGCGCTCCGCGCGCCAAGATGGGGGGTCCAGCGCCGATCCAGGAAATCCGCGCGGACCTCCTGAAGCTTATGTTTATGCAGCTTTTCGTTTCTGTAGCTCATCTCCGTCGCGCGCGGATCCCAGCACGCCAAGCCAGGCCGCCATGCCAGGCTGGAGCCGTCGCAGAGGCCTCGAGCTCCAGACTCCTCCTCGCTCCACCCCATCCTTCGACGATCAACGCTTGATCCAAACCATTGCTAATGCCTCACATTTTGGGCGCCAGGGGAACCAGGGCATGGATAAAAAGGTTGCTCCAGAGGCCAGAATTTCATCCATGGCGCCTCCCTGGCCCCTCGTGGGGTCGGAGCGCGAGCAGGGGTAACGGATGAAGCGTTCATCGCCTAATCTTTCCCGTGGCCCTGTCCCGCGCTCGCCGCGCAGAGGCGTGCTAAGCATCCCGGCTCCGATCCTGAGCCGCGTCTTCCAGGCCTGCTTGCGCCCTGTCGCTTCGTCGCTCCTGCGCGGCCCCGCGCGCCCGCAGCGGAAGGAGGCGGGGCGGGGGGCGGAGGGCGGAGGGCGGAGGGCGGAGGGCGGAGGGCGGAGGGCGAAGGCGGAGGAGGAAAGGATGAGGAGGAGGAGGGGGCGGAGGCGGAGGCGGAGGCGGAGGCGGAAGGAGGAGGATGAGGAGAAATGGGAGGATGAGGATCGAGGAGGAGGATCGAGGAGGAGGATCGAGGAGGAGGATCGAGCAGGAGGAGGATCGAGGAGGAGGATGGAGGATCGAAGATCGAGGATCGAGGATCGAGGATCGAGGATCGAAGATTGAATATTGAAGATCGAAGATCGAAGATCAATGATGACAATGCTGATGATAGTGATGCTGATGATGTTGATGATGATGATGATGATGATGATGATGCTAATGATGATGATGATGCTGCTGATGACGCTGATGATGCTGATGATGATGATGATGATGATGGTGATGCTGGTGGTGGTGCTGATGATGCTGATGAGGATGATAATGAGGATGAATCTGAGGATGCGTATGAGGATGAGGATGCTGTTGCTGCTGACGACGTCAGCGACGACTAACGACGGCGACGACAACGACGACAACGACGACGATGATGATGATGCCAATGTTGTTGTTGCTGTTGTTGTTATTGACGATGCTGCTGCTGATGCTGCTGCTGATGATGATGATAATGATGATGATGATTATGGCGATGATGACAATGATGATGATGATGATGGTGATGATGGTGATGATGGTGATGATGATGATGATGCTGATGCTGATGCTGATGATGATGATGATGATGATGGTGATGCTGATGATGATGACGATACCGATGACGATGGTGATGGTGAGGGTGATGCTGATGCTGCTGATGCAGATGCTGCTGATGATGATGACGATGATGATGATGATGCTGATGATGATGGTAACGCTGATGCTGCTGCTGGTGATGATGGTGCTTCCGATGATTGGTTCGTGTTGATGTTGTTGTTATGACTGCCGATGCTGCTGCTCTTGATGATGATGCTGATGATCATGCTGATGACGAACATGATGATGCTTCAGGTGGTGTGATGGTGATGTTCATGATGGTGGTGGTGATGACGATGATGATGGTGCTGCTGATGATAATGATGATGGTGATGATGGTGGTGGTGGTGATGAGTATGCTGTTACTGATGATGCTGATGATGTTGATGATGGTGATGCTGATGATGATGACGATACCGATGACGATGGTGATGGTGATGGTGATGATGACGCTGCTGATGCAGATGCTGCTGATGATGATGGCGATGCTGATGATGATGATGCTGATGATGATGGTAACGCTGATGCTGCTGCTGCTGATAATGATGGTGCTTCCGATGATTGGTTCGTGTTGAGGTTGTTATTATGACTGCTGATGCTGCTGCTCTTGATGATGCTGTTGATGATCATGCTGATCACGAAGATGATGATGCTTGAGGTGGTGTGATGGTGATGTTCATGATGGTGGTGGTGATGACGATGATGCTGCTGCTGCTGATGATAATGATGATGATGATGATGGTGGTTGTGGTGGTGGTGATGAGGATGCTGCTGCTGCTGATGATGATGATGATGATGCTGGAGGGTCGAGGATCGAAGATCAAATGCCGACGATGCTGCTGCCGATGCTGATGACGATGATGCTGATAATGCTGTTGATGATGATGCTGATGATGATGATGATGATGTTGATGTTGATGTTGGTGATTATGCGGGCTCGGTTTGCAGCAGGGGCAGATGCTGCTGATGATGATGATGATGATGACGATGCTGATGATGATGATGCTGCTGATGCAGATGCTGCTGATGCTGATGACGATGCTGATGATGCTGATGATGCTGATGATGATGGTAACGCTGATGCTGCTGCTGATGATGATGGTGCTGTTGATGATTGGTTCGTGTTGATGCTGTTGTTAGGACTTCTGATGCTGCTGCTCTTGATGATGATGCGGATGATCATGCTGATGACGAAGATGACGATGCTTGAGGTGGTGTGATGGTGATGTTCATGATGGTGGTGATGACGATGACGATGATGATGACCATGATGATGATGATGATGATGATGATGATGATGATGATGATGATGATGATGATGATGATGATGGGTGTGGTGGTGGTGGTGGTGGTGGTGATATTGATGCTGCTGCTGCTGATGATGATGATGCTGGAGGGTCGAGGATCGAAGATCAAATGCCGACGCTGCTGCTGATGATGATGGCGATGATGATGCTGTTGCTGATGATGCTGATGATGATGCTGATGCTGATGAGAATGATGATGATGATGATGATGATGATGATGATGATGATGATGATGATGATGATGATGATGATGATGATGATGATGATGATGATGATGATGATGTTTAGGATGATGATAATAGAGCGGGCTCGGCTTGCAGCTGGGGCATATGCTGCTTGTGATGATGACGATGCTGATGCAGATGCTGCTGATGCAGATGCTGCTGATGATGATGACGATGTTGATGATGATGCTGGTGGTGGTGGTGGTGATGAGGATGATGCTGCTGCTCTTGATGATGATCATGATGCTGGAGGGTCGAGGATCGAAGGTCAAATGCCGACGATGCTGCTGCTGATGATGACGATGATGATGCTGCTGCTGATGATGATGATGCTGATGCTGATGCTGATGATGATGATGATGATGATGATGATGATGATGATGAGTAGAGAGCGGGCTCGGTGTGCGGCTGGGGCAGATGCTGCTGATGATGACGATGCTGATGATGATGATGCTGCTGATGCAGATGCTGCTGATGATGATGATGACGATGCTGATGATGATGCTGATGATGCTGATGATGATGGTAACGCTGATGCTGCTGTTGATGATGATGGTGCTTCCATTGATTGGTTCGTGTTGATGTTGTTGTTATGACTGCTGATGCTGCTGCTCTTGATGATGATGCTGATGATCATGCTGATGACGAAGATGATGATGCTTGAGGTGGTGTGATGGTGATGTTCATGATGCTTGAGGTGGTGTGATGGTGATGTTCATGATGATGTTTGAAGATGGTGATGCTCGCGCGGCATTTCGGAATGCAAAAGCGTGAGGATGTCTCAAGTGAAGCGGGCCGGACCACCTCTTGGGCGGCATCTCGGGGCTCAGAGTTTGGAGGATGTCTGAAGCGAAACGGGCCGGACCACCTCTCGCGCGGCATCAGAGAGCGCAGAGTTGCGAGGATGTCTCAGGCAAAACGGGCCGGACCACCTCAGGCAGGGCATATCAGGGCTCAGAGTTTGGAGGATGTCTCAGGCGAAACGGGCCAGACCACCTCTCGCGCGGCATCTCGGCGCCCAGAGTTTCGAGGATGTCTCAGGCGAAATAGGCTGGACCACCTCTTGCGCGGCATCTCAGAACTCAGAGTTGCGAGGATGTCTCAGGCGAAACGCGCCAGACCACCTCTCGCGCGGCATTTGGGAGCTTAGAGTTTGGAGGATGTCTCAGGCGAAACAGGCCCGACCACCTCTTGCGCGGCATTTGGGAACTCAGAGTTTGGAGGATGTCTCACGCGAAACGCCCAATCCCGGCTTTTCAGAAACGAGAGTTGCGAGGATGTCTCAGGCGAAACGGCCCGTATCACAATTTTTTTTTGAGGACGTCTCTGCTTTGAATTCCCTCGGCCGGAATTAGCTTCCACCACAACAGCACCCCGTTCAGCAAGCTGTTTGGGGAAAAACATATGGTTTCGCAACGCGGATTTCCCCCAAAAGCTTGTTCGCGCGCTCTTGCGACATCATAAGAAAACCGTAGCTATATATATATATATATATATATATATGTATATTCCAACGTGTCCATCTTTGACCTTCGCCCGGTTTTTCGCAGCTTGCTCGCCGTTTGCCTGCAAGATGATGCGCATCTCCCAAAGCGGGCCGACCTCATGGCTGCTTGGATCTGCGCTTGGCTTGGACGAGCAGGATAGGAGCCTGCTTGCGGCAAGCGACTTGTCGTCGGTCGTGGTGTTCAAAGAAGCCCGTGCCACCGCCCCAGCCATTGCCGGTGCTCACGTCGCCTGCGTCGACTCAGCACGCGCGGCCATCGTCGGCAACTCGCAGCTGATGGGCTTCAGCCTGGGGCCGGTCACAGAGTTCTCGACGTTCTCGCCGGATGACGTGTTCTGCGCGATGTGCGCGCCCAGCACGCAGCCCGCGACCACGTGGCACCCGCTCGCCATGGAGCTGGCCCCGGCCGCCGGAGGCTTCTTCACTGGCCCTGGCATCCCGGTAAACTACGGCGTCATCGCGGACCAGGCGGTCCAGGCGATGATGAATATCACCAGTGCTGGTTTGCCCGCTGGTACCCCGGACCTCTCGCTGGAGTGGCGTGAGTGGATCGAGGACAATGGCTTGCGCGTCGACATGGGCGGGCAGGCTTTGCTCGTTGCGGACATCGGCGCCTTTGACATCGGCGGCGACGAGGCCGACGTGCCGGATGGAGCGGTGTCGCCGGCGCTGGGGCATTCAAGGTTCTTCACGTACATCAAGACGGTAGTCATGGACGTTTGCCCTGCAGATGCAGTTGCCTTCCAGGTAGACTCCACCGGTGCTGCGACCGCCAACGTGTCGCTTCTGGCCATGTTCAGCGCACCTCACGGCACCATGACACAATCCTTCGTGAACGTCGAGGTGATGGAGGATGCAGCCTACGCCTACCGGCCGACGGAGCTGATCTTGGCCCGCGCAGTCCTGAGCGATGTCCGTGCCGTTGTGGATGCGTCGGTGCCGTACCTCGACATGGCAGTTGGCGCCACCTCGCATCTTGCCGGTCTCGTGCCGCCGGATTGGGGAAAGCGCACGAGGGCGATACTCCGGGCCTGGAATCAGGTTCGAGTCGCGCACCACGTGGAGCATGTTGCTGAGACCGCCGCGACGAGAGCCGCCCGCGGCGTCGTCTCGCAG